ACTCTATATGCTAATTTACAGTAATCCAATTAATGCACTACAAAATCAGATCAAAGTTTGAACTTCAAAACAATATTTTATCAAGTCAAATTTAACAAATATTCTTGCTCAATGAATTGTTCATCAAGTAAGAATACTTGATCAAATCAAATTTGATTCGATCAAATATTTGATTTGAAACTGAAACTTTGATTTGATTTTGTAAATCACTATATTCAACTTTGTGTTTCAAATAATCAAATTAACTAACAAGAAGCATTGCAGTTTATTGTCAAGCAGAATAATTTTATAAAAAATAATAGTGTAATCTATTATAATGCTCTGGGTTTATTGATTTTCTTTTTTTAAAAAAAAAAGAATATAAGAAATCTGTGACTATTGTCAGAGGTAAAACTAACACCTCATGGAATCTGCAAAATGGATATCATTGTGGCATACTTACCTAATTAGAGTTGCCCATGATGATTCATCTGAAACATGTGTGCCCAGCCCCAAAAGATGCCATATGAAAGTACACAAGCCTCTATGCAGGACCCAACCACCCCTTTAATTAAAGTAAAGTCAACCTGAACCAACCTGTTGTGCTGGGAATGGACATTGACTTCACTTGCATTACTTGGATTAGGTGTGAGGTAATGTCAAAAGGGGTGTGATTGAAGACAATATAATGAATTCTAACTCCAGGATTATGTAACTAAAACATTTCTCATCGAAGCTATAAGAAATGTTAAAATAATAAAAGGCTGTATAGAAGGGGGTAAAGATTATAACAAATAAGGTTGGAAAGTGTTAGTAATAATGAGTAGAGTTGTGGACTTGCGCAGGCTCTTCTCTCATTCAGTTTATTATAGAAAGGATAGAATTTCCCTCTCCCAAAAGCATAGTTCAAAGTAGTTCAGAATTCAAGCCCATAATACCACTATTGTACTGCTCCTACAAACTATTAATAAAAATTAATAAAAGCTCTTTGACCTATAAAATACTATAATGTTCTTTTAAATTCACAATACTTATCTTGTAATGCTTCTCTTTGATCATCTTGATCTTGTGCCAAATCATAAAACTGCCTTTATCATCTTTGAGGAATGTTACATGGCATAACCATTTTTCTAGCAACAATTCATCACATTTGCTCCATCTCTAAACTCATCTATTAAACCTATTACACTATAAATATAAACTATTGAATAATTATTTAAATCACCAAAAATAAATATGCTTTATGATTGTTGCTAAACCTGTTTCTAAGAAAACATAGAGTTAGCAATAATGATAATGTTGGAGTCTTCATATAAACAAATATAAACTATACTCAAAAGTTATTCTTCTGATAGTTGTTAGAGTATTCATTATAATCACAATTGTGATAGTAACCACAATTTCTTCTGTTATCAATCAGGGCTTATCTAAAAGTTTTGATATTTAAATATTTTTTTTTAGATTGCTTCTGTCTTTATTCAGTCCCAGACAGTTTTCTATTAATATTAATAAACATTCATAATTATCAATATGTAGGCATGATTTAATTTTTTTTTTAAAAAAAAAAACTAACCAGCCATCAAGCTCTTGTTTCAATCATTCCTTTGTTTCATAGAGAATGTTATTAAAGAAATATCTGAACTTATAATAAATTGCAGTAAGGGGTATCAAAACATCTTCTAATTCTGAACCAAGTTCAATGCCTTCTGTACAATTTTCTTTAAGACCATAGTTGGTTGCTGCTCTTTTAATAATAGTGGTGTTGATATTACAACTTGAATGGGTGTTATCTTCATTGATTAAGGTAAAGTTAATGGAACATGATTTCTTTGTAATTTGACTGATGGCTTTTCCTTTGGTGTGTTCAGTATAACTGTAATAGTAGGAGTTAGAAGTAATTTTTTTAACAACCTCTCTAATAAGGTTATTTTTGATGAACTTAACATTTGACAACAATTCAACATCAAAATCTGACTGTAGAACAGGAATTCTATTGTGAACATAGCTTTGGTGATAGTTTTTTCTACCACTACAGCTTTTGCGATTTTGTTGTACAAGATGGCCTTTCACTTTAGAAACTTGGTTATGGTTTAATACAAAATGATTGTTGCTTCTAACTATAATCAAATATAGATTAAAATAACATGAATTAATTACATAAATAGCTCTTTAATCCAGTAAATAAGTAATTGCAATAAGAATATTGTGCAAAATAAGAAACCAGAGATCATTGTAAAAAACATTTTAAACTGTATATTATAGTTATAGATTTAGTGAAAAGGTTTTTTTCCAAAGTGACTGTCATTATCTAATCTTTGGTCATGTTTAACATCATAGTTAAAAAGAACTAACCTTGCTCAAAAGCTATAGTTAAATCAGCAGAATTGATATTGTGAATTAAGCCTATATAATGTATATCAAATTTTAATATAAAACTGATTTTATCTAAAACTACTCATCTTAGTTTTATAACGAAAATGTTAAGTTGAAATTAATACTCTATATTTTGTTGACAGATTTTTTAGGTTAATGCTAGAAAAGATGCTAATTTATCTGAATTGGTAATATTTGCTAGTAGCATATAGCATGAACTAAAATATTCAGGATACTTTACTATTTAATCTGTATATGTAAGTATTATAATCAGAAGGATATTATGATCAATTTAGAGGGAGGTATAAGTTGCACTATATGAGTTTTGCAATAATATTTTATATTCCCAAGTGCAATTAATCTGTTCTTAGTACCCAGGGTATTTTAAATTTTAGGCCTTTGAAAATCATGAGGAGTATTATAAAAGAGGGTCTTTTTTAGTCCTCATTGTATAGCAAGTTTTGATTTTATATGTAGTTTTACAATTTCTGTAAATATCCACTATCAGAACTACCAGAAGTACAGTTAACTTTTTCATAGAGTATTAAGAATTATGAAGATAGCAAAAAAAAAAAATAATGTAAAGTGAGAAATTAGATCTGCATAAATTTAACCTTTTTTTTTAATTAATAAGACTTATTAACACAAACTTAGACAAATCCAAATTATATAATATAATAGTGAATATGTCAATTAAAGATTTTATACTTACCTCTATAAATTAACCAAAATAAAACTAATAATAAGGGTTGAAACTGTTTAACTACTTAAAATTAGTTCATAGTTTCAGGTAAAGCCATGTTGTTCATAGGTTAAAATTATTTTAATGCTGGCTAATTAAGGTTAAAAGACTAAGCAATTATAAAATTTTAGTCAGTCCCAATCTTTAATTAATAAGAGACACAGGGTATAACTAAATACTCATTTTGAATAATTACTTCTGCACTTAAGAAAGTATAGATAATATATCAATTAGTAAAAATTTATTATCACTAAATTAATATAATAATAAAATTATTATACAGTCAAACCTCTCTATAGTCAACTTTATAGTCACATTTGCTTATAATCATATAAATTCTTAAAACCAACTTTATATAATATCTATAAAATTTAACCTTTATATAGACTCAAACTTTCTATAAGTATCAAATTCTTAAAATCAAGAATGTGATTATAGAGAGGATTGACTGTATTGTGTTATGTAAAACTATGAAGCCAAGTAATATTTCTTAAGTATTGTAAATTTATATTACTTATAAATATATAATATAGAATTTCAGATGTTCATCTATCTTGTAGCATATGATCTGAAGTTTATATAATCTGTTGTTAAAATGATGAACCAATGCCTAGTTGTAAAAAAAAAAGGTTAAAAGAATTTGGCAGATCCAGGTAGTAGTTCAGTAGCTAAGGCTGTTCGAAATTAATTTTTCAGTTAACAATACTTTTAAAACTCTTGAAAGAGGAAGAGAAAAGGTAAAATAAAATGAACATATAAAAATAAACTAATTTTATTAGTTAATATAAATCAAATTATTGGTGAAAGTTATTCAGTATTTTGATTGGTTGTTCATTTTTTGGAAGAAACTTCAGTTGGAGTAATGTTTAACTAAAAAATTAACTTCGAATAGCCTAATTCTCAGCTCTAAAAGTTTGAATATTAATGAGACAATATATAGTAATTTTTAGTTTATATTTGCATAATAATGCTTCAACTAGCTTAAAGCCAGAATTAGTTTCACCTTTTTCAATATGTTGTCCATAATAATAATAGGTTTTGACATTGTTGCTTCTGTCATAGAAGCTAGAACAGAACAAATACAGGAAGATGCATGTTTACATTGTTACTTCTATATCCTGTCTGTTAAATTACTTTTACAATATTTAAGAAAAAATATAAAAATAATCTTATTTAATTGTTACAAGCACATTAAATGTAAAGTTGATAGTACTTCCTATTTATTAAACTATTTAAGAAATTTAAGAAAACATTTAGAATTAAATTGTATAAAAACAATGAAGTTTAATAAAAACAGTACTTAGGATAAATTTTTTCCAATATAAAATTGCAACATCCATGCATTAAGTTATTAAGAAAATTAAGTGCAGCAAATATAAACTGGTACCTTTTCTCTGTTAAACTATTAAATAAAGAATATATATTTTTAAGATAAATATTTTTTTGGATGCATCAAAAAATTAAAATATTTAAAATATAAAGTTTTATTTCTTTAGACCATCAAGTGTATTTCTTATCTGTAACTATTAAAATTTTAAGAATTAAAATCATATTAAAGAATAATAAAATATTGCACAGAATGAACAGAAAACAAGTTGTATATTGTTATAACTATCTCTCAAATTTGAATTGATAAAATTACTCCACATTTGCATGAAATCCTAATAAACTTCAAACAAAAGTGCATAACTAATTGTTAAGTATATTACTGATATCTTAAGACTTTAATAATTCGATTATTTCAATTAATTTCAAATATTAATCTGTTCTAAAATTTTTTTATTTTTTTTCTTTATATCTATTCTTTTAATAGTTTTTTTTTTTTATATTAATTTATCTTTAGTATTACTTTTTATATTAATTTTTTATTTATTTATTTATTCATTTTTAATTTGGTTTTTTCAACATGCAAACTAACTCAAATGCCTCAAACTATAATAAATTATACATATATAAATCATCAACAAACCAGTATCAAAATTTCTGTAATGCATTCACATACAACCACATGGTTATCTTTAAAAATCCAAATTTAAAAAAGGAATTTTTGTGCAAAGAATATAATAGCTTATAGAAAGAAATAAAAAGCAAACCAGCATTTCAAATATTGAAAATCTACTTACTTGTACAATACCTATTGTTCAAGACTTCAATATATCTTTAACTATTCAAAATCTTAGTACTGCCCCTATTACTCAAACATGGATAATTGAGAAAATTTTTGTTTCAAATTTACCTCTAATAAATGCATCAGTGCAGAAGCAAGCTGTAGAAATTATTAATGACACAAATAAGAAGCTTGCTAAATGTCAAAGGGCCTATAATGCAACAAATAATTCAGAAGCCTGAAACAACTTAACAAATCAGATGCAACAACTAAAACAAAATTTTTATACTAAGAAAAAAAGGTTAAAATCCCTACAAAAACAGGCAGAATATAAACATAACAGTATAGAAAAAAAGTTATTATTTTTTTAATTTTTTAATTCGATTTTTTATTTATTTCCTAATTATATTTAAGGTATTTTACCTAACTTTCAAATTTCACTTCTAATAGTACTAAGGAGAAATTAAAGGTTAAAGTGAAGTATTCCAAGTATGATTAGAATTTTTATTTTTACTTTGTTTTTCTCTACTTAATTTGAATTCAAATGCTTACTATTCAATGCTTTATATTTAATGCTTTATATTAGAAACAAACTACTACAAGAACAACAACTTGTTGTTAAATATGATAAGCCTGGCTGTCCTTTACATGTCAAAAAGGATATATTTAACCTAAACAAAATATCATACAAATTTAATAAAAAACTTGTAAAAAATACTAATTTAAATGTTATTTATATATAGTTAAAACATTGTATAATTTTGACTATATTTATCTACTACTACTTATTATCTAAATATTTAAAAAATAATATTAAATCAAAACTAAACAAGCAACAAATAGAATTAAAATTAATAATAAATATAAAATAAATATTATTAAAACAAGATTAAAATATTATATAAATATTTATATAAATATATAAAACAATATATATTTTTATTTTCATTTGTTTGATGTTTTTTTAAAATTTATTAAATATTTATATTAAAATTTATTTATATTTTTACCAAATATATGTAGTTTTTATGTTGTATTTTAATTTATTTATATTATATTTATTCAATATTTCATATAAGTTTTTATTTGCATAGATATTATTTATTTATTTTATTTATTTCAAATATTATTTAGTATATAATAGTAAATTACAATAATATTTATTATAAATACATATATAAATATTGTTATCTCATAATAAATTGCTTAGTTTATATCAATATGAAAGTGCTACATAGTAATATCAATATCATTTACAGATCTATATATTATGAAATATAAATAAAATTAGTAAGTAATAAAGCATATATATATATAAAAAATTGTACAATACTGCATACAGTACTCCAAAGTACTATGTGAGAAGTATACTATATAGGGTATATTAATTGTAATCATATAGGTTATATTACAAAATTATTAAATTAGGTTATATATTTGATTAGTACCAGAAAACTTTTAAAATACTTAATACTATTTAAAAGGGATATCTTTTTTAAGAAGATACTGTACACAGTGCTGTACAGTAATTAACCAAAATATAAATATTATATTAGTACCTTTTAAGCCCAATCAGGAAGAAAAGATAACTTATCAGGTAAGAGACCAATTAATTTCTCATATTGTGAATGTTTGGATTTAGGATAAACATGTTTGAACATGCCATTATCCTTTTTTTTTCTTTTTGAATAGAGTGACCACATACTTGAGCATAAAATACTGGCTTTCCTATTTAAAATAGATCATAATCTATTATACTTTAAATAATAAAATTTTTTAAATTTATATAAATCAAATTAATAAGTAAATTAATAAGAAATATAAAGTTAATTGTTTTACTTTATCTGAGCACAATATACAGGTGTGACAATTAATTGTTTTCTGTCTTATAAATAAAGTTCCTGATATTCCTCATCTGTTAGTTCTAGTGACATACAACATTTATAAAAAATAAGTTTAATTTCTTCTTTTGGATAATGCAAATCTTCAATATCAGAATATTGATCCAAGGCTTTTAATAATGCTTTAGATTTTTAAAAATAAAATTTAAATCAAAAATTTGAAATATAAATCTAAATTTTGTAAAATTTCTATCTTACTATACTAAGATGATTATTATAGTGCTGCTTAATGTTTTGATTATTAAAAGCATTAGAGTTCTTTTTCAAAGCAAGATAATCTTTATGTAAATATTGAAAATATTAAATTGCAATATCCATAATGATTTTACATATCCAAGGTTGCTCAAATACTAATTCTAAAAGAATAAAATCTTGTATAGTAATGTTTAAACTATAAAACTCAAATAAGTAATTAGGAAATGTTATTTTCATCTGAGTTAAAGTACCCCAAAATATTACTAATTATTACTAATACTAATAATTAAATGACATTATAGATAACTTTAATTTAGACAAAAATAGAATTGCTCTAAGTAATTATTAAATACCTGTAATATTTTTACAAACATCCTAATCTCTCATAAAATAATCTATATATTGTTCAATAATTATTGGATTATTTCCTGCAATAGGTGTATTGAAGACATCTGAAAGATACTCTTCATCAACTGTTTAATTTGCAGATAAGGTTTTATTATTATATGCTATTTTTTTTTGCAATGTAATTTAATCTTGCAATAAAGATAATAAACTAAAGTTGGATGTGTTTCATAATAGGAATGTCTGGTATCTTCAATTAAGTTTTTATCCTGAACTGTTTTCTCTTTACTTTGTTTATTATAAACCCTCTTCTTAACTTATTTAATGGCTCTTGGATACCAAAATAACAAAGAAAATTTGCTTTTGTTATAAATATTGAAATAATTTCTTAGTAATGTCTCAAAAGAATCTAAGTTGTTATTAATAAGACCATTATAGTTATTCAAACTAGTTAGCTCAGCATTTATCATATCAACTAATTGCCTATTATTCTCTTCAAAACTATTAAATCTATTTTGTTAGATAATAGTTGTTACTTTGTCGATTTTATTTTGTTGATTTGCAAGTTGTAATTTTATTTTTTCTTCGATATTCTTTAATAATTGATCTTAATCATCTAATCTTTTTTGCTGTTCTATATATTGTGATTTTACAAGGTCTTCAAGAGATTGTATTGCTGTATATATTTGAAAATTAGTTGTTTTAAATGCCATAATTGTAAATTTTTTTTTAATTATTAAACAAATAATTATTGAATAAATAATGAGAAGAATCACAAGTAGAAAAACAAAAAATATATCTTATTTATTTATTATTGTTAGTTTTTTTTTAGTTAGATTTAATGTCTAATTAAAATTCTAAATATACAATACATATATATAAGTGCTATAAAGTAAAAACCTGTCATCAGGCTTTTAATTATATTTTGTATCAGATTTGATCTATTTGATATACTAGTGATTATGTCTATTATAAATATAATTGAAAACCTGATAACAGATTTTTCCTTAATAACACTTATTATTTATTTATATTATAATTATTAATATTAAAATAATATACTATCACAATTGAGAAATAGAGGCCAATTAATAAAACAAAAAATTATATTAAGGATGGCATATTAATAAAAACATCATATATATATATAACTCAGTCCTTTATTTTGTTTCCTATCTTAATATTAACTAGTTTAGATCATAAGTATAACCTTGTTTTTGGAAATAATGTATCATCGATCTATTTGATATTTGGAATATGCAATCGATCTGATATTAAAGCTCAAATTACTATTCATAGCATGTTTGAGCAATAATGATAAAATAATAGATTTTTAATCTGTTCAATTTATTAACTTTAAGTATTGTATTACTTATTTTTGAATTGATAACCATCCTTTCTAAAACCTGTTAAAGCATAATAATAAAGTTTTGAATAGTAAAAGTTGGAAAACTTAAGGAATAAAACAGATCTATTAGAGAAATATATTAATATTAAAAACAAACAAAAATGTAGTATTATATTTATCTTTCTATATACAAAAGATAAAAAAAATAACATATTTGAATTGATAGCCTAATTATAACAGACTCTGTCATCAGGATCGTTAAACTTCAGAATAGTAATCTGATTCAAAATAAAATAAAAAAAAACTTTTATTTTCTAGATTCAATATATAATACTTTAAACTGTATCTTTCTTGTCTTTCAATAATAATAAAAACTCTTTACATATATAATTAACATTATTCTAATGATACATATTTGTATATATCCAGAATGCAATAGAAAAAAAGTTAATTGGAGAACTTGGAATAGCAATTTTAATTTATATATGTCTGATGACCCTACAGCATCAGTATCAATAATTCAAGATAATATTACTAATAAAAGTAATAAACCCTATTTAGAAGGTCTTCAACCTGACTCACCTATAGTATCAGAAAGTACAGATACTCTTTTATCAAATTTGTATCTTATATTTGAAAATATAGAAGATTCTAAATCTAATTTAGTTTTAGTATATAGATATGCAGAACAAAATTCCAATTCTTTAAGTTTTGATAATTTTGCAGAAGGATCAATTCACAAAAAAAAAATAAGTTTGAAAATAATATAAATCTTACACAATTTGGATTAACTAGTAATATAATTGTCGAATCAGATAGTGATAATAAACACAAAACACAACTTGATCTATTGAATATTAATTTGAATAATTATAAGAATGAAACAAATAACAGTATTAGTCTAGAAGATAAAATGGAGAATTATATTAGTACTGAATATGATGATGAAAATACTAAATATAAATCAAATTTAACTACAAATTTTCTTATTTGCATTGAATCAGACCCAAATAACATATTATGCTTATTACTTGCTGCTTTAATTATTATTTAATAGATTGTTTTGTGGATTTTACTTTTTAAATGCACAATAGCTCTTGCTAAAACATTAACAGAAATTCTTTTTAATTTCTTATATTCTATATTGAATTATATTAATTCTGACTACTTTGTGACTTTTTCCAAATCAAACTATCATGTTTCAAAGCTTTTTGGACTAGATCAAAATTTTATTAAATTTTATATATATCCAAAATGTCATAAACTTTTCTGGACACAAGAATATTTAAATGAATTTGGTCAGTCAAATTGCACTTGTGGAGCAAAACTCAAAAAGCCCATTTGAACATCTAAAAGAAAAATATTATAAAGATATATGTTTAAACTTTAGTTAGGGTGAGATTTTAGAATAATAAATATTTTTACTTATTATATTTGGCATTGGTTATTTAGTTAGTTGTAAGGTATAATAACTATAGTGTTAAGCACTATTGGTATGATTTAGTAAAACTGTTTAATGATTATATAAAACTAAATATTTATTAAAAAATTTCTATATTATATCTATATAGGGTATTAAAATATATTCTTACTATTCAATTATTTTGCATCTTAAAAAAATTCTTTTGCTTCCAGAAATAGAAAAGGCATTAGAAACTTGTCATGAATGTTTATTACTATCAGACAATTTACTTTCTGATGTATATGATGGTCATGTTTGGCATACATTTGAAGATGATGATAAAACTGCTTTTTTTGTTAGTAATTTAGCTGAAGAAAGATTAGAATTTTCACTTAATATTAACTAGTTTAATTTATACAAACATTTACCAATATCAATTGACACTATTTATTTAACTATTTTAAATTTTTCAAGACATATTTAATATCAAACTAGAAATGTTTTTTTAGTTGGTCTAATTTCAGAATCTCATGAACCTTCAGTTACTGAAATTCATAATTATATTGAACTAATTGTTTATAAATTAAACAAATTATGGAGTAGAATTGTAATTAAAACTCCAAAATATCTGAATGGTCAGCTTTTTCATAATGCTTTAATACTTATTGCATGCAATACACAAGCAGCTTGTAAAATATTAGGATTTGCAGAACATTCATCAAAAAATAGTTATTATAAATGTACCAAAAAATTTACAACATTTTCAAATAGAAAAGTAAATTTTTCTGGATTTGATTAAGAATTTTCCTATCTTAGCAATATCAGATATATACAATTATTTAACAATTGGCTAAATAAAAGTAATAGAGAAAAAAACAGATATTTAATAAGTATAATATTAGATGGACTTTGCTACTACATCTTCTCTATATTGATCTTATTCATTTTACAGTAGTTGACCCAATGCATAACTTATATTTAGAAACTGCACAATATATTACAAAACTTTGAACTACTGTTAACATTAAAAATAATAAGCCTTTAATTTTTAAAAAAGATTTAGAAATAATACAAAATCTTATTAATCACAATCCATCTCTATATAATATAGGTTGAATTCTTTATAAGATTGCTGCTGAATTTTCTTCTTTTACTGCTAATTAGTGGAAAAATTGAATATTAATCTATTCTACTTTAGCAGTTTGTAATTTGTTACCTAAAAATTACAGAAAATATTGGCAAGATTTTGTATGTGCTAATGCTTTGTGGACAAAAGAGTAATTAGTATATCTGAAATTGAAAAGGCATATGAATTTATTTGTCAGTTTTGCATTGCTATTAAAAAAATTTTTGGCACTGAATTTATTACACCCAATATGTATATGCATATTCATTTAAGAAATGCTTCTTGGATTATGGACCAGTATATGGAATTTGGTGTTTTGCATATGAGCGAATAAATGGCAAGTTATCAACAATTTCAACTTCAAATAGAAATATTACTACTGAAGTTATAATTGCTATTTATAAAGAAATTATAATTAATATTGTTGCCTCAACTTTATTAAAAAAATTTCCAGATTTAATTAATTATTCTTTTAGAGTATTTAATAATTCTATTTCATCAGAAGGAACATTAACTAAATACTTAGTACCTATACAAGTGTTTTAAATCTTTATAATATGTTAACTAAAATTTCTAAACAAAATATTACTAAAGCTGAATTATTTCCTAGAAAGTTTCTTAAACCTATATATTTTTTACATTTAGATGATACTACAAACAGATATTTTACACAATTTTATAACAAAGTTTATATTAAAAACCAGTGAACATTAAATTTTATTGCATCTTGTAATTATTTTTCAAACTTTAATTCAATTTTTGTAACATCTGCAATTGAATGAGCTGGAATTATTTGTATTAAAGATGAAAAGTTTGGTTCTGTTTCTTTACGATCAGACTCAAATTAATATATAATTGCAGCTTTTGTTGATGAAAAAAAAACTAAAACTGGTAAAGAACATAAAATATATCACTGGCCTGAAAAAGTATTATACTATTTTAAGCATTGAGTACAGGTTCCAAAGAAGGTTACCACAGAAAATTCTAAAAATTAAATAGATTTTAAAACTATAAAGCATTCATTTGCTTTTGTTGATTGGTATAAAACATCTAATTGTTATGATCATTTTTATATTTATACTTATGAAACTGATTGCTTTCAATTTGTTAAAGGTAGACATGCTTATGTTGAAATGTTTTGTGCTGAGTTGTAGGAAAATAGCTTTTACAAATGTTTAGTTGATAATGTTCTGCCTGTCCAAAAAATTTTTTGTAGATTTTTTAAAGCAGATTACAAATTACATCGATTGACTAGATATATTGTAATTATTCCAATTAATAAAAAATTAGGATTTTAATAACATCTTATATATAAATGCAATAGCTTTTATGCTTTAATAAGTCCAAACTTTGATTTCTTAATAAAACATATATAAAAATTAATTTTAAGTTTTTTTAAATTAATTATGAATTTTATTATATTATATTATAAAATCAAACTTTATATTACATATATATTATCTAAATTGCTTTTTATTTAATTATTTTTCAAATTTCAAATTTTATTATTGCCTTTATAATACTTCATAAAAAGCCATCTATTAATTAATTACTTCAATTGCATTATACTTAATAAATTAGATTAATTTGTCTGATGCATTAAATAAAAAGGTTAAAATAGAATTTTTAGAGTTAAGTATGATTATATGATTTATATTAATGTTTATTGGTTCAAATTAATAATAAATCTATGCTACATAGATGTGTAGAATATAATAATAATCTAAGATTATAGATTAAATAAGTTAAATAGTATCAACTTTATTCAAAAAACAGTTTCTTTTTAAACTGTATATAGAGTTGCAATAATAATAAAATAGGATTTAAAAAGCTAGAAATAATTTTTTTATTGAAAAGTCTTATAATAAAACATATTTTGCGATATAAGGGATGCATCAATATTTTATATAGTCTAAGTGCAATTACAAAATTTTTAGTACTCAGGTATTTTACATTCCCAAGTGTAATCCTTAGTACCTAGGATACTTTACATTTTTGGCCTTCAAAAATCATAAGGGTATTATAATGAGAGGTCTTTTAGTTCATGTTGTACAATAACTTGTAATTTTAGGTAATGCATATAAGCTAAATTTGCTACAGTAAAAACTAAATTTTCATTTACAAGTTTTCACTCTGCAATATTCAAATCAACTTTAGGTACTTGCTACTATTTATAATAATATATAATATTGACAATAAATAAAATAAGATTTTTCTGTATTTTATTACAGAGTCATGAGATTACAGGAATATTAATATGAATTAATGATTATAAGGGGTGTGGTGACTTAGTAAAGTGGATAAGTTGTCAACCTCCTAAGTGGTAGGTTGTAAGTTTAAAACCTACCAACAGTGAAAATTTGAATAATCACCTATGTAATACATAGATGATATTATGGTGATGGCATTCTGTTGATCAGTTGGGATAGGTTATCTGTAACTATAGTCACACCAGCATGACTGGCAGGTCACAGGACATCTGTGTAACATTGGTTACACAGAGAAATGCAAACCAGTACCAGGCAGTGCAAATCTAAAATAAGTTCTTATGGCTGTGTAAATTCATAAAAATGGAAACCAAAGCCTACTTGGAAAGACCGGAATAGAGAAGTAATACAGATCTTCGATGGTACCACTGTAAAGGCTAGATCTAGAAAACAGATACCAATGTAGAGAAGCCAAATGGGCAAGAACCTCAGGTGAGAAGTACTACCAACCAGGCCATCAGAACCAAACCAAAGGAAAAGGATATTGGGCTGGCTTGATATATTATGGACAGGTCACAGTTCTATTAGGCTATCTGGATTGGAAGTCTGGGGTTAAAGCAGAAGTATACTATAAGTACTAGGAATATGCTGTGAAGTAGGTGCTAGGGTTTGGGTAAACTTTACAAAGGCTAACTTGTTAATGTTCTGTAGAGTAGATAGGTAGTTAACAAAAAGGTATCTTGGAATCTTACAGTCAGGTAATGTATTCTAAAATGTTTAATGGCTTGACAGATGTACAAAAAAGAAAAGCTAAATGTTGAGTTAGATGGCACTTAGTTGTATAAGAACCAGGTGTTACTCATCTGGATGTAATATAAGGATTAAAGTGTTTAAATAGGTATCCTTCTAGTAGGTTACAGGCATGGCAGCTGGTGTAGAACCCTTGGGTGGCTACTTAAATAGATAACCAAAAGTTATACATGTGGCTAGTTGTATACTTATTTTGTACAAGTCATATGTAATGCATTGACCAAAAACACAAATAAAGATGATAGTTACAGATAATATTGGCTTTAAAAATAAAATAAAATAAAATAAAATAAAAAAAAAAAAAGAATTGATGATTATAACTGAAAACAACATCAATGTTACATAACTGATCCTTCATCTGATGTGCAACATATAAAAAACTATTTTACAATATTAGATTATTCTGTTAGAACATGTTATAATTATAATCCAACACTATTTTTATTATAATAAAATAATTTTAGATTATAATTATAATATATTTTAGCAGAATAATAAAATAGTTTTTT